CCTCATTATGACTTCTTAAGTGACTGAAGGACTGAGACTTTCTGGGCCCCAGGAGAAATATGTTATGAACTGGTAGAGATCATTTCTTGCCTGGAAATTTTTTTACCTATTGTACTGGAAACCTGGATGTAAGAGTGATCTTTTCTGCCTTTCTTTGTTCATCCTTCACTAAGAATGTACACTCAGGATCAGATGCTCTCCATCTCACTCAAAAGAAAAACCAGAGCCTTCAAACTGACCTCCAAGTTCTGTGTGATCTGGCCTGCCAGGGCCTCTCTAACATTATTTCCTACTACGGCTGAGTCTACTCTGGCAAACAGACTGCCCTGCTGTGCCTTGGACATGTCAGGAACACGCATCAGGAACCTCAGGAACTTTGTACCTGCTGGTCCCTCCAGTAGGGTACCATTCCCCCAGCCATCTGCGTGGCTCCTTTCCTTCCACCCTTCTTAACCCTGCCTAAACTTGCAATCAACCCTACATACTCCAGCACACTTTACTCCTCTTCCTTGCTCTACATTTCTTGACTACACATCTGATATGCTATGTTTGTTTCTTAATATTTTGTTTCTTGTCTGTTTCCATCCAATAGAACATAAACTTCACGAGAGCAGAATTTTTTTTGTCTCTTTCATTCGCTGCCATAACTCAGTGCCTAGGACAGTGCCTGGCACATAGTAGTAGATGCTCAGTAAATGCATATTGAGTAACCATATGCAGAAACTGCATATGTTGTGCTGCTAAGTGTGTTGTTAAGTGTGTTGCTAAGTGCATTCCCTCTAAGCCTGGTTTTGAATGACTTGTTGAAGCATGAAGCACACAGTTACAGGTTGGTTTCTGTGGTTTTTATTAGTGTTTTCTGGGACCCATCAAACCAAAAAAACATATTTTGAAAAATATAATTCTTTCATAAAACAGAAATACTCAGTTTGAATTTAACACAGTTTCAAGGGCAAGATTTCTGATTTTTAAAAAAATAGCAGCAGTAGGGTTGCTTCCCACAAATTGTCAACCCAGAAGCCAGATGGGAAGAAAAGCAAGAATTAGGCATATAGTTACAGAAAGATTAATCCCAATTAAGCTAAACTTGTGAAGGCTTATACATTTTAGTGGTTCGTGAGGCCCAGTCTCAACACGTTTTTATTAAATGTTCTCTGTATCTCTTATTCCAGAAATGGAATACTGAGAAGCAATGCTGAGGTTAATTCAGCTCTGATAATTGTGATTGCTGTGTTCTTTCTTTCACACAGGAAGTATCCATCCAATGGACTCCTATGGAGTACCTATTACACCCCACATAGTTAGATAAGCTCCTCACAAATATGGTTCCACTCTGTGCACACAGTAGGCACTCGATAAACATTTTTTAACTATAGAAGAATAATATAATTGCCTTTCCCTCTTACTATTTTAACTTTTCCTACACTTTATACATTTGAAAAACAACACGCTTGAAAAACTAAAATCTAACATGCATGACTAACCTTATCAAAAGATCCCTCAATATTTTTCAAAACAACAACAAAAATACAAACCAACCCCAAAATACTAAAACTTAGAACTGCTTTACACTTAAATAGCAATTTACATCATATAAACACATTCATAATCTTCATTGGTTTAAACAGGTTCAAGGTTCATGACTGGCTTCTGACACCAGATAAGTATCACAGTTCCTCACACAACATATGTTGACTTGCAGAACCAAATAACCTGTTTTGATTTTATTTCAGCGCAGGTAGGGAGGCAAAGTAAAGAGTCTCACAGTAAAATGTTCACCTGATAGATAATATGTCCTTGAAGTTTTGGCCGTTGTGCTCTTCATCCAGTGAACAAAACAATTTACATCGTGATTATGGATATGGCTTCCCAACCCAAGGAGTCTTCCAGAAGACATTCATTCATTAACTCAACATATGGTTATTGAGGACCTGTCTCATGTTAGATACTGGGAAAACAATATTGCTAAGATATCATCCCTGCCCTCAAAGAGCTTACAGTCTAGCAAGTTAAGAGTTTGAAGGAGGACAAGCACATTCAAAGGAAAACTCATTGCCCAGGTCTGCCCTGCTCAGAAAACAAGTTCAAGAAGCTGTAGGTATGTCCCTGGGAGTCAGGGCTCTGCTCGTTTCATCAAGTCAAATATCTAGAAGCCTCAGATGATCTGAGTCTGGTAAAGTCTTAGCAATACCTTTCCTGCCTCAGGTTCCCAGGAAAAAAAACAAATAAGAGCCCAAGCCTTTAGTTTAAGGAGAGTTTAAGGAGACCGTGCATAGTGACGATAGGAGCATCGGCTCAGACGAGCTTCTCAAGTGAGAAGCTGTGAGTTACCAAAAGAAGGGGGCTTCACCTGGTGCTGGCTTATCTCTGGGATTTTGCTTTCCCTTGCAACACCGGGGGGAAGGATTCTATTCACACCCCAAATTGGCATGGCTCGATTACCTTGAGTTCTCCAAGTCATGAACAGCACAGAGAAAATGCATCAAACTCAAGCCAGGACAATAGAGAGATATGCTGAGAACTTAATACCTATTTACGCAGGAACCAGATGCCAAGAAACCGTCACTTTCAACAAATAACACAATCTGCTAATTATCTGCAGAGTGTTCCAGTCAGTACGCCCCAGACTCGCTACCTAGCAGGGACTGCTCTTCAATGGAGAGGGTGAGGAAAGAGACAAGACCAATCCGGGGGAATGTGAGAAACTTACAGGTTTGTGGAAGA